TCTTGACTAGGTTCAGTGTTAGTAGTCAATGCAGAGGCTTCAAGCTCGATGTCGTTTTCATTGACAGGCGATGTGTCTGAATTGGCGTTTGTACTACTTTAAGGAGACTGTTTGCGCCGAAACAGAACAGTACGAAACAACAGTTGATTTGGCGGGCGTTTCATGCGACAATACAAGACAATGATGACAAAGTGTTCAGCAAGGTGAGTGAGGGAGCAAGTAGGTAAGCCGATGATTAAGTGTGGTGGAACTAACAGAATGTAAATGGGAAAGGTCTTGTTTTATTGTGGCGATTTGAGAAGTGAATTGTCCGTCAAGCAGACGAAATGTGTGGTCAAGTGATTGGAGTGTTTGATTATCGAATTGAAGTGGAGGTGTAAAATTAAGCGATTGGTAATGTAATTGTAAAGGTCTTCGTCGTCATTTTGCCACGGAATGTAACGAAATGAATTAGAACTGAAATACGGTAAATGAAGAGTTATACGATGAGGGCAGGTACCTAAACCGGTTTGTTGAGTAGTGAAAGTTAATTCGCAAGGAAAATGGTAAACCGTTAATGGTGTAAGTGAAATTAAATGGGAGGGACCGTCAGTAGTGTTGAAAACGGGTAGTAACCCTTGTTGAGTAGACAAATAATATCTGCTTCCTAAATGGTATAAATTGTGAAGGTCAGAACAATCCGGCGCTTGTTGGTGTCGCCGAACAAAATTCAGTTTCGCGTTTTTATTCCAAGGTAGGCCTAACCATTGAGGGTCGTTGACTGTCTTCAAAATGTGTTGGGGACAAACAAAAGTGTCATCTGTGTGATAACATTTGTCTAATAGTGTACGGGCAATGCTGAAAAAGAGGAGGGAAACCGTCAACATGCAAGGTAAGAGCGAATGGTTCGTTGGTTAACCGTGAAGAGTGACGTTACCCAAGGGGTATATATAGTTAAAACTGGCGCATATATTCTGTCCAACCAGGTGGGGCGGGAGGAAGAACGTACCGGGGGAAAGGGATCATCATCCCGCTCAAGAGTGATGCCAAAATACGCGAACCATTCATTCGGATCGGGTGGCGGTGGCGGGAAGGCGGATAATGAACCCTTCGAAAACAAAAAGGATTCAGTCCCAAAGGAACATTTGGGCTTGAAACATGGTACGCTTGGATTGGCGCCCGACAGTGAGGACGGGAGTCTCCCACCGCCTGATTGGCAAAATGCAAACACTCAAGAAGGCACTCCTCGTGTATGTACTTGCGACAACACAAGAGAGGCTGGCTTGGGTGTTCGTGAGGTGAATCCAGACAGACGAAACAGTTAGTTTCAAGAAAAGATGTTAAGTGCGCCTTTGCACGGTCTGGGCGGTGCTTTCTTCTTACTTTAGGCATTAGGGCAACTATGGAGGAAAAAAAAAATTACGGATGTGGGTTAGTTTGACTTGGAGCCATGAACAGTATTACTTCTCCGCGTCAAGTGAAAAACCAAACTAACAAGGGAATAAGGGTTCACTCAACAGAATTAGGATGGTCTATGTAGCCACGAGCAGTATAACTTCACCGCGTCAAGTGAATAGGCCAACTAACTATGCTATGAGCAGCGAACTTCACCGCGTCGAATAGTTGTTGAGTGAAAGAAAAATATAGTGGCCCAAAATGCAAAATTAAAAGCGAAATAGGTGTGCACGAATTCATGCCCAAAAACGGCATAGCTGGTAGAATTGAGTGTTTGCACTAAATCCCTTGTAAATCAGGAACGAATGCGTAAATGCCTAGGAATATACAACTGGATTAGATCGAACATAATATGATGAGGAATTAACAAATAATCATATAAGTGAATTACTGATAGAAATAAGTAAGGTGCAAATGTTGCCTGAGGTGTACGCTCCAGAAAATCTAATAAGAAATTTACTTCTGCGGGTGAATAATCAGAAGGCAAACAAAACTGTTGTAATGGAATGCTCAGACCTGCAGTGACTGCAAGATGAGGTGGTCAAAATTAGTGTCATGCCTATTCAGAAACGCTTCATAAAAGGGACTGCAAAAGGAGAGTAAGGAGGGTGAAACTAATCGTGAAAAAACGATAGGCTGGAACTCGAACTATATGGGTTTTGTCTGAAGACTCAGCTAATTGTAATATCGGATGACATTGATAAAAATCCATGCTGAGAGATGATAGGCAATCTAGAACAAAGGAAAACGCAAATAATAAATAAGTGGAAAAAAAAACAAAGACTGAAAGTTGCATTGAACTTGCGGATTGTCAAAAGTACGAGAATGATTCCCAAATAGGAAACAAATGCTGAATTGGGTATTTTATAGAGAGTGAAACGAATTAAACTGAAACAGGCTTATTACAGGTGGAACAAGTAGCGTTTTTCTTGACTAGGTTCAGTGTTAGTAGTCAATGCAGAGGCTTCAAGCTCGATGTCGTTTTCATTGACAGGCGATGTGTCTGAATTGGCGTTTGTACTACTTTAAGGAGACTGTTTGCGCCGAAACAGAACAGTACGAAACA